CTGTGCCTCCCACTTTTCCTTAACAACAAACTGCATTACCGAAATCCCATGGTTTGGCAGTGCTGGTGGTTTTAGGAAAAATACAGGCTGCTTGTTCTTTTTTGTGTAATACTCCTATCATTTTCCCTCCTGCAACTACGCCACTCTTCTCTGCACGTAGTGAGCTTTTTCCTTTGCACAACTTCGCTACCAAAGCAGCTCCCTGTTTCACAGCCTGTGCAAACGAAATACCAGTGATACGTAACCCAGACTTGTGTACCTTTGTGTGTGACTGTTTACATATACATTTGTGAGATGGGAAATAAACAAGCTATCAACTTTACTCTTGTCTAATTCCGTAATCCTCCCATCAAACATTAACTACTGAGTATACAAAGTAAGCCTTTATCTCCACCATAATCAAATGTAGCTATGTAACACTATTCTGCTTAAGAGTTCCTTCTATCCTCCCACACCTGCTTCTTCCCCCTTTTCTGAGCAGCAGCAGCAGCCTGCCTGCCCATCCATTACTTAGGCTTGGTATTTTTTTAACGTGCAGCAACCTGAAATAATACACTTGCTATCTATATCATACCACCAAGAAAAACCTTAACCCCAGCTTCAGCCATCTTAGCGTTCAGGCACTGAAAGAGGGTACAGCATTTGATCGCAACCGTGAAGTTCAGGTGATCACAATTCTTACGATAAGGCTGGTAAAAGCAAACTGTGGAAAGGTGCATTCCCCTCCCTCTTTCTGAAGCATCAATCTGTCCGTGTATTTTACCTTTCTTGCCCAGAAAAGAACCACCTATTGTAAAACACTACAGAAGATTAATACAGCCCAAAAATGAAGGTCCAGTGGCACTAATTTAAGCTGACAGCTGGGCTGGTCAGTGCCAGGTTTTCTCTGACAAGTTTGTGTTCAAAGTATCTCTTAGTCCACCAAGGTCTGTGACTATGGGTTACTTGTACGCCACAGGCAAAAGAGTCTTCCCTGTAGGTCTGACATTCTCTCCGTAACTTCCTGCAGCTACCAAAGACCTCTTATTGCTGTACAAGTTTTTTAAAATTTTTTGAAGTAGTCACATGGACCCCATTCTATTCTGGATGGTTAAGACAGGACAGCCAATAGCCTGATGGATTTTGAAATAAAATCCAGGAGACCATTTAGCCTCCCACACACAAGGCAGATGTTTAATCCATGTAATGCACCAACACCTTCTACCCCAGCACTATGACTGACATTTCCTACAGAGGAAAATTCCCAGCTAAATAATAATCAGTACATCACTCCTGATTCTAGGGGAGCTCACCAACAAAATTGTTTGTCACCTGAATTTGTCTACAGCAAGCCATGGAGTTTAGAATCTAAAGCAAGATGTTAGAAAAAGCAAACTTTCTTTTCATCCATGATTAGTTACAGGAAAACCTGAAACTCAAAACTCCTTGCCTTATTTCTGACAATCACTAACTGAGCGGTTACTTTTCTGGAAGGGGCTCTGTCTGTCATCAAGTGTTCAAAGCTGCCTCTACACCAAGGGGAGTTCTCATCGATACGTCTAACCTTCATAGCAAATAGCTAACAGCCACTCATCAGCAAGTAAGCGAGAGAGCAATATGCATCACAGTGTCACTGCAAAATGGATCTGGAAGAGGGAAAAAAAAAAATCAAACCATTGCTGACCCACTACTCTGGTAGTTCCATGGATACGTGTAAAACAAACAAGCAAGAACCCCCATACACAGACTTAACAGTTCAGTACCGCATTCTTATGAGTGTCAGATACAGTATAAAGTAATTCTTCCCATCAGTAGACCACCACAAGAACAGCTATACCAGAACCCCTCTCAAGATCAGTATTTCCCCTTGACTTCCTCCCAGATTCCAGCAACGAACTGGCTAGGGATTATGAATTTTCAACAGCTGCAGTGATCTGCAGAAACAACCCCAAACCTATCTCCTTGTAAAACACAAATGATCCCAGGATAACTGACCAGCAATTAGGTTAAGGCAAAGCACACTGAAAAAGAAAAATCTTTCCATGGGATTCCTAGCACTTAGCTACTATTTTTAGAAGGTGAACTAGTTGACTGAAAAACAAAAAACACCTGTAGCAATAATATCAGAAAGCAAATGCCATTTCTGCTGTTCGATGCAGTTATTGGCATTATACCTTCCTCTTCCACATGCGTTGCTTTTCACAGAAACATTACCAGGTAAGTTATTGTTATTTTTGGAAACCTACAATAGCTGAAAATAGCCTGTTAGTTCAAGCAGTGTAGCCCCCCCCCCCCCCCCCAATATACATACATTCCATTTTAACATTAGTGTCATTTATAGCCACCCACACCCTAAAGAAATAGGGTAATTACCCACACCGCACACCTACTCTTTTCCTTCTAGGGATGCTCAAGATACTGATTTATAACAGCCTTCTGCTCAAGACCTGTCACCTCTGAAGCAGCATGGATTTGGTATCAAGCATATGCTAAAGCATTCTGAAATTTTACACCTGTTCCATTTGCTTTGTTTCAAGCTATGAAATAATAAACTCAAATGCCTCGAAAGGGAACGAGGCCGGGTTGTACCATCTTCACCATATTCTGAGGCAGGGCAACATAGGGCACCTTATTCCCCAGGGGAATTAGGGGAAGCCTTTACTCCTGTGTTTTGTAGCCATTAAGAAACCTTACTAAGAAGTCACCTGACCAATTTAAATGCATTGCTTTGCTTCGATCAATCACCAGATTTCATTAGCTTAGAGTTTCACCATACCATATTGCTATCCAGCAACAGACACTTTTCTGAAAGGATGTCACCAAAGACAGTAGAAGAAAACCACAATAAGCAACACAAGTCAATCTTTATTGAAAACTGAAGTATTAATACATAACAATTCTTGTTACAATAAACGTGCTTTTAAGAATTTAAATCTGAGCTCATCTACTCATTGAATTGCATAAAAAATAAAAAAGTATGAATTTTCACAATTGAACTGGCTCAGAATGGAATCTCCACTCTTTGTGTTGATGCGATAGTTCAATGCAGGAGTGAGTGATACCTTAAAACTCATTCTGGAAGACAACATTGACCTAAACTTAAAAAAAGTACCAATACAACTGTTCGTAAGACAGTTTTAAAAAAAGTCATAAAAAGGAAACCTGTGCCTATTTCATAACAAACATGGAGAACTATTACTGGGGCCTCTTGCACTTCCATTGCATGCACTCACTTTTTCAAATCTTAGACATGAGGGCAGCCAATAATAGCATTACAATAATAAAAAAAAACCACTAACAAATCCATTCTACTTAAAACAAGTCTGTACAGCAGCCAGCTAAAAAAGCTTTCCCAGTTTGCCTGCTAAGTGCCCAAAAGTCACAACAGTTTAGAGAAGTCATGTTCGCTTTCTTGATGTTGAAACTTCAGAGCCCATAAATTGCTTAGAATATTTTTTAAAATCACAAATGGACCCTTACTACTTGTGGAATTCAGATGTTTCAGTGTTATATTCAACCCACACAAGAATCTGGTTTCCTCGTCCCCAGATAAGCACTGTTCCTCTTCCCTCTCTTCTGTCTACAAAACACACCGTATTTTCTCTCTACACACCCCCAAACGGAGGTGTACACAGCCTGCTGAGAGAGTCCTCACTACTTCAGAGATCTCAGAATAAACTTGATTCTCGGCGAGGCTTGATGCACAAAACCATACTAACTTTGCTGCAGTTGTTCCTGTTAATTGGCATTCTACCTCGTCAAGTCTGAGGGTCTCTGCAGGAAGCTTAGAGTTGATAAAATACAAGATCAGAAAGCTGACACTTATTAATGAGAACAATCTGAATGAGCTTAAATCTTTATGCCTTTTGAACAGGCATTCACAAACACTTCGACATGAGGATTAATGGATTGCTTTTGACCCTCTGCACACGCTGAGGTCAGCCAGTGACACCTGCTGGAGAAGGCTGGATATGGGCCATACCTGTTTCCTACCAACTACTGCACAAACCAAGTGGGTAACTGCAAACTACCATTCAACAAGCACAGTATCGGTCCTCCTTCCCACAAGTTCCAGCTGAAGCATCACTGTCCTTCACGTTCCGAAGATGGGAGGTTTCACACACACACTATTTACTACTCTGGTATGAGTTTAAGCCCAGAGTTAAGTGGTGGTAACAGATTGCTGTGCTTACCTATTCAAGCAGAAGTATGCTCTAAACCCAAACGAAAGGGGTGTAATACTGTGCTTAAGCACTGGGGAGTGATTCCAAGCCAATTCTGACCATCTCTTCCTCAGATACCTTAAGTGGCCTTACTACCCAAGAGCAGTGAAGCCAGAACGCTCCATGAAGAGCAGTCAATGTTGAGTACCCTGGTATACAACTCTGTACCATGAACTATTCTCAGACAACACTTAAGACATGGTGGTACTTACGGGTAGTGGTGGTGTTTTGTTTTTTTGGGGTTTTTTTTTGTTTTGTTTTCAGTGGATGAAGCAATACAAGGAAGGACTTCAACTAAAATAAAGGATTTTTTTCATCTACCACTGCACCTAAGCATTTAACTTGCATAGTACACTCAAAAAGAAGCTTTCT